TTCATTTCTTTAATTACACTGGTCATATTTTAAGTGCTCAATAGCCACGTGTGGTTAATAACTACTGTAGTTGGCAGCATGGGCATAGACTACCTGACTATATCATAGCAAAACTTTCTATTAGTGGGTGCTGCCACAGGCAGAGGGAAAAACAAAAACGAAACTGTTCCAGCTAATGGAATATGCAAAGGCAGGTTTTGAAATTAAATTGAGAATGCTTATTCAGTGATACAAAGGAATAGAAGACCATTTCCTTTTTGGTTAAACCTGCTGGAGGGAAAAAAGAATATGCTTATAACTTACATTCGCTTTTGCTTTAAGACCCGCAAGGCTTTCTGCTTGACCATATTCTAGAGGGGGGAAACAGATTTTTAATAAAAAGAAATGGAAGATCTACACATGGTAAAAGAAATCTCCCATACCCTAAACTCCCATATCTACTGTCTCCTTCAAAACAATGGACACAGTGGCTCCTGGGTGCAGGCCAGTCCTCCCAAGCGTAGGTATCCTCAGGTCTAGTCTTGAAGCAGCGGCTTCTCTCTGTCTTTGCATCCTATACCTCAGAACCCCGAGCGACTTTCCGGTTCCCAAAGAATATCCTCTCCAGCCTGCCTCCCTGTGCCCATTCTGTTGAGCCAGTAGCTTTACGGAGCTTCCCCACTTGGACATCCAGTTATCAACTCAAAGTCCTCAATTTTCTCTTTGAATATTACTAACAATGCCCTCCCCTACCCCTGAAATCTCCACACCACCGAGCCGAGAATCTTTATATGACATCACCTTTCCTCTGTCATCTCCCACGCACAGCCACATCATAAATGATCTTTAGAAGTCACTTACAAATGAATCCTGTCACCTTATTCTCACGGTTTGGGCTTTCATCACATGTCTGCCTGGGCTTTCCTGCCTCTGGTCACCCTTTGATCCATGTCACCCAACTAAAATGGTTGGAAAAGCCCCTTTTCCCACCTTTCAATCAATATTGAAACATTGAAACATATTATTCCAAAGAGTAATAAAGGATAGATCGTTTTTTCAGATGATAATATCTAACATTTAATGAGTATTATAGGTGCACCCTGGTAGCACTTTGGGATAAGCATTGGGCTGCTAACCAGAAGGTTGGCAGTTCAAACTCATCAGCCACTCCAAGGGAGAAAAATGAGGCTGTTTTCTCTGGTAAAGATTTACAGCCTTGGAAACCCTGTATTGAGTCACTAAGAGTCAAAAACAACTCGATGGCAGATTTGGGTTTTTTTTGTTGTTTAAATGTGAGGCAGGTCACATGAATTTCCTCACTCTTCAAAGCAGATAGTATCCCCCTTTTCCAGATGAGACACTGAAGCTCAGGGAGGTTAATTTGCCCCAGGTCACATGGTCACTGAGCAATTGGGGCAGGGGAAAAACAAGGTAGTTCTTTGCTTACAGCCCAGATATTTAACTATTAAACACAGTGCTCTATTTCCCTCCCTAACAGAGGAAGAAGAAAATAGGTGGGTGGGAAGGTCACAGCTCCAGGTCACAGCTCCTAGGTAGCAGGGACTGCAACACTGCTCTTTTTCAGCAGATCACTGCACCTCTCTAACAAGTTGACTACACTTATCTTACCTGACCTGACCAGCCTGACAACTCACTATTCTGAACCTGGTCCTGTTCTTCATATTGCCATCTCCTCAGAAGTAGAAGTTAATTCCCAGTACATGCTTTTGGATATGTGGTCAGAATCTTTTCCTCCACCAAGTCAAACTCGTTTCCCTTCCCTAGCTAGTTTCTTAAGGAACCCTGGTGGCGTAGTGGTTATGTATTGGCTTGCTAACTATAAGGTTAGCGGTTCAAAACCATTAGCCACTTGGTCAGAAAGGCAGGGCTTTCTATTTTGTTAATAACGTTTCCCCAAAAGTAAGACATCCCCCCGAAAATAAGACCTCCCTGAAAATAAGCCCCCTCCGAAGCTACTATAAATCTGGACCCTGGACCATAGCGGTGGGCGCCGCTGCGCAGCTCACTGTTGGCCGCAGCGCAGCCGGAGCAGACAGGAAGTGTGAGGTCTCTTTTAATAAAACAATAAACAATAAATGTGTACCATAATCTTCTTCATGGAAAAATAAGACATCCCCTGAAAATAAGACCTAGCGCATCTTTGGGATGCAACAATTAATATGACACTGTCTTATTTTCAGGGAAACAGGGTAGTTACAGTCTCAGAAACTCACAGGGGCAGTTCTACCCTGTCTAGGGTCACCAGGAGTCAGCACTGACTCAATGGCAGTTGAATTTGGGTTTTTGTTTGTTTGTTTCTTTGCTTGAAATGGCTCTTTAAGGATGCATCCCTTACAGATGTTTTCTCCTTTCCAGAGTGTAACCCTCACCAGCCCTGACCACCAGGCCTTAGTCCTACAAGTTGAGCTGTCACAGCATCTACTGAAACAGCTGCCATCTGCCTTACCTTTGCAGGGCCCTCCCGCATCTTCTTGATCTGATCCTTGTATTTCACTAGTTCCGCATCCAGTCGAGAAATCTTTTTGTCAATAGATTCTGCGCGGCTATCCACCTTGAGGGGGTTAAAAAAGGCAGTGTAAGCAATTGCAATGCACCTACATAGGAAGAGAGAAGTGGAAAGAATATGGAAGATGAAAAGAGACAAGCACGTGAAAAATGTGGAAAACAGTGAAGAGTCGGGGAGGGAGGGGGATTCCCAACCCAAAACACTGGCTTTTATAAAACTAAATGTCACTCCTAGACAAGGCATGTCGGGGCAGCAAAATGATCTGAGAATCACTAGGCTGAGCTGAGCTGTAATAGTTAACGCCCGGTGGACCGCCCTGGAGTTGTCGGTCTAATGACATTTCTTAAGTCGGGTGAGTGGTTTAAATTGAGGAGCCAGGGTTCCGACGTTTGCTAATGAGTTCTAGGTAAAGTGGGCAGAGACTACCAAGTTGAAAGTCCTAAGGTAGGTGAGGTTGGAGGTTGGCAAGGTGAGGAGTGGAAGAGGTGAGGCTGGACGAGGTGGGAAGGGTGTATGGGCCCTGAGAGTAGACAAGGCAGTGGGCATCAGAACGGGTGGGGTGTGGGCAGAGGGGCTCCTGGTCTGTGGCTTCGGCAGTGACCTGGGTAACAGAGACAACAGCCTGAAGGTGGGGTGCAGAGAGCCAAGGTGTAATGGGCCCGAGGCCCGGGACCCGCGATCCCGTGTAGGGGTGGAGGAGTAGGAGCAGGGAGCAGGGGTGGGCGGGGTCAGGGGTCAGAAGCCCAGACCCCAGTTATAGTTGTCGAGAACCCACCGTGCCAATGCAGTCAGTCAGGCTGGGAGGCGGAGCCTTCGGCTTGGCTTTTCCGAAGAATCGGTTCATCTTGGGCGGCCGCGAAGAATCCCAAACACTGTAGCAAAACCAGAAACGGAAATAAAGTCATCCCGGTCTCCGCCTTGACTTCCGGCCTCCTCTG